TATTGATCCTTCAGTATTGAGAGCATTGATCCATCAGACAGAACAGTTACATAAATTTGTGACTACAATTATCATACATAGTAACATATGTTTAAATTTCCCTCCAGGATAACTAAAAAAATGAGAGTGACTTATTTTCACTGTGGTAAGGTAACTTTAATGTATGGTGGAGTTAACGACTCGTTGTCAATTGATGGTAAGAAAATCACAGCCGCAGTGAAAACCTTAAATGAAACGCAGTACAGATAAAGGTTGTGACTTCAGTGGAGTGTTTGTTATCATGTTTTTATATAAGTACTAGTGTCAACAAAAGCAGTACACATTTAAGATTACAACCAGTGTAGAGATACTGTGAAACCAAATTGTATTCACTCTCTTCGTCTTTCAAAAGAATCAGTAAATTACTGATAAATTAGACACATGTGCAACTCTTGGGTATCTTTATCTCAATAAAGATACCCAAGAGTTGCACATGTGTCTAATTTATCAACGTGTCGGTTCCCTGAACCTTTGATCTACAGTAAATTACTGATGAATACTTTGCCAGCACTACGGTGCGGCCCTTAACACTTTCAGTCAAGTGTTTTGCGAAATAGGTGGACGTCCCATTATTGACGGTGTACCATACCGACAAGTTGATGAATAAGATATATGTTATGTTCTGTTTATTGAAGAAGTCTGTTGTATAGGCGAAGTGTTTCAGAAATAAAGATACTTAAGTATTCGACACGTATCTCATTCATCGATAAAGATACTTAAGTGTTACGTATGTATGTCAACAGGTATGCAGCTGAGGAACTGTTTCGACTTTGTGACTTGACTTCTCTCGTCTCCCGTGACTAGTTAATGGGTCCAAGTCTGGCCGAAACGTCTTCATACGTTTCAGTTCCCTATGTACTGAATGAACATTAAAATGGTCTTACCTAACATCCCTATGTACTGGTTATTTGTGCATTTTGTGTGTGTGTGTGTGTGTGTGTGTGTGTGTGTGTGTGTGTGTGTGTGTGTGTGTGTGCGCGCTACCTAGCCACCGGACATTTCCTTCAGTCAACATCTTGCTTCTCTCTCTGTTTGACCCACTTTGCATTTTCACTCGCCTAACTTCTTTTTTTTTCAATGTATTTTTCTTGTCCTAACTCTTACCATCGCGCGTTTATTTCCTCTTGGCTCTCGTGACGCATTTTCTCAATATTTGTGTTTGTGTTTATGGGTTTTTTTCCCTCACTTCTTCTCTGATCAAAGTTTGGACTCTTTTTCTTGTCTGTTCACTCTTGATCTTATTTACCAGGTATCTTTTGCCTTTGTAGTATCAACTTCACTCCTGGAATGTTGTTAATGGCGTTTCTTATTCCTTTCGGACAGTTGTTGGCGTTTCTTATTACTTTCTGACTGTTATTGGCGCTTCTTATTCCTTTCTGACTTTCTCCTCCCACATCTTTTTTCACAAGTTTATTTTCACGATTCTTGCTGTTTTTCAAACCCATTTTTCTTTCAACTTCTTATTATTATGACTGTATTCACGAGGAAGCGCTAGACTCGTAAGAGTCATTCAGCTCCTTGGAAATATAAAGAACGCAAGGAAATTAGATTTGATATAAGGGGAGAATACATTACTCACGAAATCATAATGACACGATTGCAAACAAACCATACCACGGGTGTGGTTTGTTTGCAATCGTGTCATTACGATTTCGTGAGTCATGTTGACAGCTTTGAGGGGACTTGAGCTAGAGTTCGTCACGGACACGCTAGAGGGAGATTCGTCTGTAAAAATTTGCATTTGTGGTCACAGTGGTGCCTATGCTAACCTTCCTATGGTGTAGAAATATACCTAGTTGGAGGAATCTTATCGTAGCTGACCCAGTGGCTAACGAGTCGGTCTGGAGTTTTGTGACTCTCTGATCGCGGGTTCTATCCCCACCGGTGGTATGGTTTGGAGAGAATAGATGACCCGCCACTGGAGCTTTTAGTCATCTGACCGAGGCCTTCAGCTGGCTTACCAGTCCACCCTTTAAAAATTATGGTTATGATTATATCCAATTTTTCTAACATTTTCCAAGTTTTCAACAACAATCACTTGTCTTCTTTTCCATCCATTGTTTTTCTAACCCGTTTTCACTTAGACTTTTCTTAGCTGTGTTTCTCCTCTTTCTCATCTCCTGGTTATTACAATTCCGCTGCAACATTATTTTCACATTGTTTTTTTTTGTTTTGTTTTTATCATTGTTTTGTTTTATCTTTTGGGCGAGAATATTGCAAAATTTCGTGAGTCATATTGTAAAAAAAAACTTAAATTTTACAGCTTGATTTCTTTTGGAAGCTGAAGATGTCTAAGCTTCACAATCCATAACCTTGTCTAAGCTTCTTTATCCATAACCTTGTCTAAGCTTCACTATGATTAACCTGGACCAAACTTCACTATCCATAACCTGGTCTAAGCTTTACTGTCCATAACCTGGCTTAAGCTTCACTATCCATAACCTGGTCTAAGCTTCATTATCCATAACCTGGTCTAAGCTTTATTATCCATAACCTGGTCTAAGCTTCATTATCCATAACCTGGCCTAAGCTTTATTATCCATAACCTGGTCTAAGCTTCACTATCCATAACCTCGTCTAGACGTCCTATCCAAATTGTGTGTCAGATGTGAATTATAGCACTTGTGTTCTGTAACAAGTTTGAGTTGAATGGCGTGTATTTCGTATCAAGGGCAAATTACAGTACAAGTGTCCTGTAACAAGCATGAATTTCTCAAGATAGAATATCAGACGTGTAAAAGGGAATTTTTGAATATCATAATAACAACAACAATAACAATAAGGATTCAAATTCTTAACACATGTGTACGGTAACTAGGGCAAAATTCTTGGAACAGCTAGCACGTGCAGGTGTCCCATGATCAAAGTTGTTGACCCCAGATGATGCAGATGGTGTCATCTACCTCATTCGAGCCATTATTATTCTCCTGAACGAAATTGCTTGGACTTCCTACTCATTTCTGCAACATTGCAAGTTGCTGCTGATGTAGTGATTGCAAAACGAAAGGCCTAAATTATGGGTAGGAAGCAAGTGGAGGTAGACAGTTAGGTGAATACGAACAGGAAGCTCGTCTGTCTGGCGCTCAGCAGACGGAGCATCAAGCCTTCACCACGTCTAGCGCTGAATAATCCACGTGGGTTTAGCGCTTAACATGAATTAAATAAATCAATCTGGTTCGAGGTACAATAGTTGAGTGATGAGAGATTCTCCTTCACGAAGTGAGTTTTGTAACTAATTCTTAAGTGACTGCTGACGGTGCTATGCTTTATGGTTACCTGTGATTAATAAAGATAGAATTTATGCATAACGGTATGGTCCAGGAAAGTATATAAAGAATTACCAATAACCTGAAGCGATATTTTGTTGGATGCTCGTGGCTTGGTTGGTAGCATAATCAATTCATACATCGAGTGTTCAGGGTCAATCCCCGGCGCGGGTAAAACGTTAGGCTTATTTCCTTACTCTTGCTGCCACTGCTCACTTAGCAGTAAGTAGGTACCTGCGTGTTAGCCGACTGTTGTGGGTCGCATCCTGGGGGTAAAGATTAAACAACCCCAATGGAAAAAAGACAGACAGTCCTGCGTGGTTAACCCGCAGGTTAAAAAATAAAAATAAATCTTATCTTGGAGCCATTATGATTAACAAAAATCATAATATGACTGTAAAAACAACCCACGAAACGGATAAGGTTTGAACCCATAATGGACTGGAGTTTTACGACTCATACGCCATGGGTTCTATCCCTGCCCGTTTCTTGGCTTATCTTGGAAGCTTGGTGAAGTCACAAGCAGTTGACTTGTGAGCCACGCCATCTAGCTGCAAGGAGGCACACTATAACCTTGCCAGAAATTCCCAGATGTTGAATAATTGAGCATCCAAGATGCTACTCTTGTCATAGCAAGAACATTAACTCTCACACAGGAGACACAGTCTTCTTTCTTTCTTCTTCTTCTTCTTCATTATTATTATTATTATTATTATTATTATTATTATTATTATTATTATTATTATTATTGTTTATTCTTCATATGGAAAGAAGACATACCACACTCTACCTCAAAACCTTTTCTTCTTAGTGGTCAAGGTACATCAACAGAGTACATATTAGCACAACTCCCTCTCTTCTTTCCTCCCTGTCTTCTGTACCAGCCTTCTACATTCTCTCCCTCGGTCTCTCCCAACATTCCTTCACTCTCCCTTTCCTTTCTTCCCTCTTCCTCTCCCTTCCGTCCCTGCCACCTCCTCATAACCCATCCCGCGAGAAGGAATATGAGAGGGAAACATAGCTAGTTTCTGTCTTTCAATATAACAGTTATATAGAACTGGGTACCAGCACGGTGCTGAGGTGTCTTTATTCTCTTTCCATTTTTTCTTTCTCATATTCTATTACACAATATGGAGTTTGTACACCAGGTAATGAAGTCTGTGAACCTGAGCTGAGAGACTTCAGAAGCGTGACGAGGATGTCATGTATTTCACTTTTCCTCTCTGCCCCTCTCTCTCTCTCTCTTAAGGTCTCTATTCCTCTTCCTTTGTTTCTGTACCTGTTACTCTCCATCCTTCCTTCCTCCTTCCCTACCTCTCTCTCTCTCCCTCCCTCCTTCAACATCTTGTCGGTATGGTGATACCGACAGATGCGGAAAAAGACACATGTTCAGATTAGATTTAGATTTAGATTTGACTAGTTTATGGTGCATCCTTTATCAATCCTGTTGACGGTAGCGCATAAGCACATGAATACACAAAAGGCCTAGGAACTAGGCCACAAAAGGGTTGACTGGAGTACATTTGGATTTCTACCCACAGTTCACTTATCTGTTACAAGCAAATTTAGGAAATACAGTTCAGAATATTTACTAGAGGAAACGTTTCGCCCCGTGTGGCTTCTTCAGTCCGCCACATGTGGCGAAACGTTTCCTTGAACTGTACGTGTCTTTTTCCACAGAGTGATAATACTCACAGTAGACGGTGAGGGAGACATTGGCTAGAAGTGGCTGTTGTAGCAGGTCACTGTTGACGCGACACTCGTAGACAGCACCGTCATCAGCAGCAGTGGCTGTTAGTTGGTGAGTGTTGATGACACCGGCAGCATCTGCAGTGGTGGTGTCATCCAGGAGGAGGCCACGACGGTGCCAGGTGAGCCAGGGACGAGGGTTGCCACCTGACACACGACACACCAACGTTCGTCTCTCCCCGGCCACCAGCACCTCCCCAGTCCTGTAGCCACTGATGCTCGGCCTTCCTGGCTCGTCTGAGGAAGAATGGGTATCATTTAATAAGTGTAACATAAATGGAGGAACATTGCAGAAGGCCTACTGGCCCATACAAGGCAAGTTCTTAACAGAACCGCCCACTACCACCCACGTATTGTCCAGTCTTCTAAGTACTTAAGAATGGAGGTGCAAAGCATATAATCGTTATAGATAGAGACAAAACTTTGTCCGTGGAAGCAAAGAGGGGAATGTATGAGAGCATAGTTATACAACACTCTTATATGGGTGTGAAGCATGAGTGGTGAATGTTGCAACAAGGAGAAGGCTGGAGGCAGTGGTGATGTCATGTCTGAGGGCAATGTGTGGTGTGAATATAATGCAGAGAATTCGTAGTTTGGAAATTAGGAGGAGGTGTGGGATTACCTAAACTATTATCCAGAGGGCTGAGGAGGGGTTGTTAAGGTGGTTCGGACATGTAGAAAGAATGGAGCAAAACAGAATGACTTCGAGAGTGTATAAATTTGTAGTAGAGGGAAGGCGGGGTAGGGGTAATTTTTCTTTTTCGGGCCACCCTGCCTTGGTGGGAATCGGCCGATGTGTTTATAAAAAAAAAGATAGTAGTATACTAGTAGTAGTAATTTAATAGTACTTGTGGTAGTAGTTGTAGTAGTAATAGTAGAAGTAGTAGCTGATATTTGATGGTGGGGGTTGTTGGGGTTGAGGAGGATTCTTCACTGATGAAGCTGCGTTTATTCAGCTTAATTGTGTTAGAAACAGCGAGTTGCAGACACGAATAAAAAAAACTGAAGCTGCAAAACAAGCTTGAACTGCCATAACGTTTCGTACTTTGTAAGAGCTTTATCATGTACTCTTTCCTCTAGAAATGGTATGGTGATACCAACAAGGTGTGGAAGAACACATATATGTGCAGTTTAGGACATTTATTAAAGGAAACGTTACGCCACGAGTGGCTCCTTCAGTCCTTATACAGAGAAAATGAGTATATATAGTGGCAGGAGTCAGGTGGAATGTCGCCTGGGTAGCAGTAAACAGCAGCAGCAGTAACAGCACAGCAGCAGCAGCAGCAGCAGCAGCAGCAGCAGCAGCAGTAGTAGTAGTAGTAGTAGTAGTAGTAGCAGCAGCAGTGATAGTAATTGTGGTGAGACGGGTTGGATTTGAGATGAACCTGTCAAGATCATGTTACAGTGGTCTCCAGAATGGGTAACATCCTGTTGATTAGCAATCTGGAAATAATGTAACTTCCGGACTTCTGAGAGATAGTGTTACCAACAGAAATTAAGGCAGCTTCTATACACTTTGTCCACCTGACTCCGGGTAGTGTGAACACCATCGTGTTCACACTACCCGGATCAAACTGAACTGTACATAAATATCCTTTTCCACACTCCTCTCGTTCTACTACCGTCCCCCGTCCCACCTCTCATATATACACTAGCTTCTCCGGTTCAGAACCATTTATCACATACACTAGCTCCCTCTCTTCACGCTTGTGGCATACAAAGGGTACGTTACGGTTTATTCGACGTATATCATATACTCATTTTGGCCAGCGAACCAGCAATTAAGAGTGTAACAATCAAGGCCACACTGTTATGCTAATTCCTGGTTCATCAGCCAATCACCTGAAAGCCTCCAACTCTGTTAAGTGGTGTCTCCAACTGGTGGAACAGAACTGGTAGACTTCCATTAGTTATAATAGCAGAATTACCGACAAAATGTTAGGTAAATGGACACAGATACAACAAATGTGACATTTTATTGTGGCAACGTTTCGCTCTCCAGGAGCTTTGTCAAGAGTAACTACTTCACAAAGCTCCTGAATAACGAAACGTTGCCACAATAAAATGACACATTAGTTAATAATTAAGACACATGTGCAACAGTTAGGTATCTTTACTGTTCAAACGTTTCGCCTACACAATACGTTTCTTCAATTAAATACAAAGGCAGCAGGTGTAGTAGTGCACCTGTGGCTCTTGGTTGTAGGTAGTATCTTGTAAATATTAACTGTAAACAATGTGAATACTTACAGAGTTTTGATGAAGAAATACACGGATTAAGAATTCATCTCTTGTGTTTTGATTTGTTCCTGCGTTGCCTAGTTGAGAGTTTGCTGACTTATTTACTAACAGGTGTTACAAGCCCACAAGACATCATCTGTGTTCGTAATAGTGATTCTGTGTGACGAGATAATGGTCCAAGTCTGACCGAAACATTATTAGTTTCATACTGGTATGCGGTGTTATACTGATGAAGTCACACAGTGGCTTCATCAGTCTAATACAAAGAAGAACGGTGGAAGAAAAGGAGGAGTTTGAGGTAATTAGTCCCTCAGCCTGGAACTACGATTAAAAATAAAAAAAAAACACTATTTGAAAATGAAAACTGCTTCCTATAAACATTCCCATTAAATGTTTATCGCCTTTGCGCGTTAAAATAAATGTTTACACTGCTTCAGTGTCTCGTAAAGTTACAGCGGTTTCTCTTAGTTTGAGTCTGTCTACCGTCCCCTTAGAGTTTACTGCATCCATGAACTTCATTATGGAAAACCCCCACTATAGGCGGCACCGTCAATTTTTCCGAAGTACTGGTCTAGAAAAATGAGGCGAGGATAGTAACCCCGCAGGATGCCATCCCATCCTACACACACGTCTGCTATCCTGCAGCTGTGATAGACTTATTGAGAATTTCTTGAATTGCCGAAAGACGTGCATGAATAATTAACAAGAAATAGAGTTGAAACTCACTACTGATGCCACTATTGTGTGTGTACTCACCTAAACTGTGGTTGCAGGGGTCGATTCATAGCTCCTGGCACCGCCTTTTCACTTGCTGCCACTAGGTTCACTCTCTCCCTGCTCCATGAGCTTTATCGTACCTCTTCTTAAAGCTAGATATGGTACCTGCCTTCACTACCTCAATTTCCAGACAATTCCACTTCCTGACTATGAAGAAATACTTCCTAACTTCGCTGTGACTCAGGTGAATCTTCAGCTTCTAATGGTGGCCCCTTGTTGCTGTGTCCATCTCTGGAACATCTTATCTCTTTCCATCTTGTCGATTCCTCTCAGTATTTTGTATGTCGTTATCATGCCCATCATGTCCCTCCTGTCCTCCAATGTTGTTAGGTCGAGTTCCTTTAACTCCCCTCGTAGGGCAATGCCCCTCTAGCTCCGGGACTACTCTTAATGCACTTTCCCTAGTTTCCTGACGTGCTTGGTTAGGCGTGGGTTCCAAACTGGCGCTGCATACTCCAATATGGGCCTGACATAAACGGGTCCGGTCCGGAACGACTATCCCAGATGTCGAATGCTATACTTAGCTTCTCCTAGCCCCATATGCTTTGCAGTTATTGGTTGACGTGCGTTTAGATGGTCGGTATTATACACACTCCGTGATCCTTTCCTTAATGAATTTGTAGTTTTTTAAGTTTTTCCCTGACTGTACTCTGAATGAGTCTTTCTTTGCCTTTCCCGATCTTCAGACTTGCATTTGTGTTGAGTGTATGCATCGCGTATATATATATATATATTATATATAATATATATTATATATATATATATATATATAATATATATATATATATATAAACACCCGGTGAATACAGCTTTAGAAATGGGGTAAACTGGAAGGACGAGGTAATAAGGAGAGGAAGCTCGGGATAATAATGAACTTTGAAGAGTGGGAAATAATTTTTCATTGCACGATGCATGGAATGCAATGATGGGCAGAATGAGCTATTTTATCGCAGGTCTCTAGCGGAGTAATGTTGCAGGAGAATGTGAGGTGGGGAGAGGCAGGTGGCAATGTTTATAAACTTTTTAACTCTCTGGCCGTCTCCCACCGAGGGTAAGGTAACCCGACAAAGTAAGAAACTCTTGCTGATACTCCTTCAATCACTGTCTTGCTATAAAGTCGTTGCTATCCCTTACCCACTATAGTGCAGGCACTGTACTTACCACCTCCAGGACTCATGTCCTGCCAATCAGCTTCCTTGAATCCTTTTATAAATGTGATCACTCTCCAACAACACATCAAATAAAAAAAAAATCTGACTTTACTCTTAACGTGCTCACGCAAGCCTGTTGGATGTCCAAGCCCCTAGTACTCAAAACCTCATTTAACCCCTCCCTCTGAAGAATCCCAAAACAACCACTACCCTTCCTTCCCTCTTCTCCAAATTTACACTCACTTCTAGCCATTCCATTTTTCTCCAATCCTTTCTAATTGGCCAAGCCACCTCATCAACCCCTCCACACCTCTCTGAATAATACTTTTCGACACCTCACACCACCTAATCTCCAAACCTTACTAGTGTGTAGACCTTTATTATGGTCACAGTGGTGGCACATGATAACCTTACTGTTGAGTTCACGACCTTCACTATGGTCACAGTGTGTAGTTATATTCTATTTAATCATGATTTTATTATTATTATTATCTTATTTTATTAATATTATTATTTTTAGCTTCCTAGAAAGAATTGTACTCAGTTTAATCCAAGGACAACATTAATTAATGTGTAAAAGTATGAATATTTTTGATGTGCAGATTCCAACGCACTTAAACGAGCTTTATGTAATCGTGTATCCATACAGGACCTATCACTGTAATCTTGAGCAGAAACCTTAGACTTATCCCATACAGATTTGCGAGCCTTTTAATCCTTACAAGACTGCAATGTGTCAGATCCCATTACTTGAAATGCCAGTAATCCATCTAAGGCTTTTCCTGGTGGCCTGTAATCCCTTTACAGAACCTACAGATGTAATTCACACAAACCTGCAACGCAATGTAATCCCATACAGAACAAGCAACGCCTGTAATCCCATAAGAGCTGCAAACTGTAATCTATACTGAACCGCAAGCCTGTAATCCTATACGGAGACCTGCAACTGTAATTCCTAATACACATACCATGAAAACTATAATCTCATAAGTACATGCAGCGCTTGTAATTCTATCAGATCATTCATACAGTGTAATACAATACAGTGACCTTCAAACAACTGTAATT